CATCAAATGACATTTATACACTATGCATTCCTGTTCCAGCGCCACACAAGATATTACTAAGCATACTTAAAACATAAGTTATTAATGGTCATCATATCAACACAATTATTAATAAATGGCTGCAATGCCCTTGAAGAACTGTCACAAAATGGATTTCTGAATGAATGTCTGAATCAAAGACCTCTGCATAGTTGGAAGCAGTATTACATGTTAATTGCTAGCATATCAAGGAAGAAAAAAAGGCACGAGTCATGAGACTATGAAAGATGCTAAGCAGGAAACAGTATAGTGCTCAGAAAGCAATATCAGGGTGCACTTCCTTCATGAAAAACAATAAATAAACAGCAGAATTTGTTGGAAAAGACTGGAGGGCCCAAGCATAAGGAAATGAATATTGCAGGCAGGCTTCATGAAGTAAATGACATCACTCTGCAGGAACCTATACCCATAGGCCTACATTTTTACTTCGAGCATCTCTATTAATACAAGGCAAATCTATTGATGGTACGCTTCAGAGGATACCTGATTATCCTGAGAATTTTAGAGCTATAAAAACCAAGTGAGAAAAAAATGTTTAGACAAGCCTTGTCACTTGTTGAAATCAGACACAAGTTTGCCTTTCAAAAAATTTTCAGTTTTCTGAACATTATTTTTTTTTACTGGGGAGCTCTCAAAAAATATGTTTTTTTTTCTCATCTTTATCAGACAGTATCTTCACTGGTCATGCAAAGGCAGAACATAAAGAAAAATGCTGCCAAGCATGTTATGCAATGAGATACTAGTACACTTGTATTCAGGTCTTCCTCATCTCAGAGGGATGCCAGTACCAACATAGAATATCACACTATTCAATCACTGTTTGGCAGAAGTCCTATGCGGCATTCTTGAATTCTCTCATCGACTCCTTCAATTTAGAAAATACACTAAGTGCAAAGTGGATGAGTTGTAGGAACATTATGGCTTTGGGCTGTGCTTGGGGTAGAAAATTCTCATATATAATTTCTCCACCAGAAAGATATTTGGATACGCTCATTCAAACCCAACCCACACAGGTTTTAGGTTCACCTACTTACCCACATAATATAAGGCAGGGGTGCACAACTCAAAAGACTGTGTGGGCCATTTGAGATTTTTACAAACATATTGCAGGCCATACAGCCACCAGACCTTCTGCCTTCTAGCTCACCACAACTGTGGCCAACATGGCAGGAGTCATAGTAGCACTTACAACACCACCAGTTATGGGGGGCTGCAGACAAGGTCCTCTGGGCTGTATGTGGCCCATGGGCCATATGTTGTGCACCCCTGCTAAAAAGTAAAAAAAAAACAAGAACTGATCAATACAAAACAGCTGCATTGCAGAATAGGAGGTATGTCCTGCTGCCCTTTGGTGGGTTCATTACAAATACCAGATGCACTGCTGAAGGACAATGGAATTTGACTAGAATTGGAGATGAGGAAATCATTTAAGTATAATTAGTTTCACTCAAAAGTGACAGTAAAAAGCTTTTAATTTCCTCCAAAAGAAGCATGAGGTAACAGTGGAACACAACAGGAATCATATCCAATGTATGAGGTGAGAGAGGAGTTTTGGTCACAACCTGGGGTTGACGGGTTGACGTACAACAGGAATGGCACATCAACTATTCTCAAAAAGGGACATAAGCAAATTGTAACCATTTATGATGTCCACTTGTATGCCACTAATAACACATTTGGCAAATAATGTACATGTACCACATATAGGAATTTGATCAATGACTGTATGGAAATGGAAAGCAAGAGCATGATGAGACTGTCAAGGATACATGAAACTTCAATAAAATATTTTGGAGCATGACCTCCTCCCATTTGCTGATTTGGTAGATGAAAATAGAAAGAGGGCACACCAACACCTCTTCAGGTCCACTTAAATTCTTGGGCCAGTCAGAAATGCATTATTTTCATTTTGAATGTCTGATTCCTGAACGAAATAGCTCACACCACTACATGATGTTCAGTGGAAAAATGTCACATCCTGGATAATATACTGGCATTTCATGAATGGTAAAGTATATCCTGTAAATCCTAGGTGCTGATTTTTCTAAATAACTTCTGAGAGAGGAGCATCACTCCATCACGTTTGGTTAATGACCAGATGGAGTCTTCTGCCAATAGAATGCCCAGTATAACGACATTCACAAGTGTTGGATATGAGTCATTCATATTTCATGAAGACAATTTTCTCATCACATACTAATGCAGATGACTTTTTCTAGTCAATAATGAACAATATTTCTGAGATATGGAGAAATGGAGATGATGGAATGGAAGAAAGGCATGAGTATAGCTGGAATGGAGGGAGTTTTATTATACATGAGCAGTGGGATATGGTTCTCACTTCCAGTCATAGTTTGTATGCAGAAGGGCTTCTATGATCAGTTGTCATATTCCAGAACTTCACACTTGGATATGGGGAAAATATAGTGAAAATTTCAGGACTTATGGGATAGACTTTAATCTCCAATTGAATCTGAAACAATTCAAAAGGAATATATCCTAAAAGTCCTGTAAAACAAGTGTAGGATTAGAAAAAAAAATAATTTGAAACTAGCCAAGGTAAAGACAGTGCTGCATCATGGAAACACCTCCAGCCCCTAGTGCTGCTGACTGTGCAAGAACCTTTCCTCAGGTAGACTCTCACAGAAATGCTTCATAAGTTTGCTTAACCTTTATAGTACTGGATATTTTAAATGCCTTGATCATCTCACAGTCCAAATTTAAATGCTCTCTTCAACCCCAAAAGTGCTTACCTTCACAAAAATATTAATATTGTCAGTATTTTTTACAAGATAAAAACTAAATAAAAAGCTTATCATAACAACACCTCTCCAGACCATGGTGATGCGATTTGCTAGGGTTATCACACAACAGGCAATCCAATAGGTGGTGTTACATGATGTGCTGTTCAGTGCTGAAAATATTCTGTCTGTATGATTTACATCTAGCATGGGATACAATCCACATTGGTACTTTAAAGGTTACTGCAATATCCTTCCCAGTTGAAATGTCATCAGACCTGACTGAAAAGGTTCAGTCCTCTGGTATGGTTATGGAGACAAATATCTATGCAAAAAAATCAGAGATCAGCTCATAATAGCAAGAGATAAACCCATGACAAACAGGCTAACACAAAAACAGCAGCAAAATGTTATAGTAGAGGGCTACCCAACCTTTACATTCAGAGAACAAAGGAAGCAGTTTCTTACAAGTTACATTTGCTTTAAGTTCAAATTCACATTTAACACGTTGGCGACAATGCGTCCTGATGCCAGGATGCAGATTTTTTTTTCAATGAATACCCTCTGGAACTGT